TGCTGCTATGAACATCTTTGAACATATGTCCCTATTGTATGAACATGCTGGACAATTGGATTTGGACATGCAGAAGATTGCAGATAGATCCATCCCTGTCACCATGCACAAAACTTAAGTGCCAGTGGATCAAAGATCTCACCATAAATCCATCCACATTGAATCTTCTATTAGAGAAAGTGGGAATTACCCTTGAACAAATTGGCACAGGAGACTGCATCCTGAACATTACGCCAGCATCACAGACATTAAGGTCTGCAATTAATCAATGGGACCTCCTGAAACTGAGAAGCTTCTGCAAGGCAAAGGACATTCAGTAAGACAAAATGACCAACCACAGAATGGGAAAAGTTCTTCACTGATCCCACATCTGACAGAGGCCTGATTTCCAAAATATATAAGGAGCTCAAGAAGCTAGCCACCAAAACACCAAACAATGAAATTAAAAAGTGGGGTGCAGAAATAAATAGAGAATTCTCAATAGGTGAATCTGAAATGGATGAAAGACAGTTAAGAAAATGCTCAAAATCCAAGGTTTAATTTCATGGACCTGTCTTTATATGTTACTTGGACTTTATCATTGGAAGCTTTTAGTAGTGGTTCCTTGTTCCATACGTTTAGTGTTTTAGTTATTATGTGAAACAGAGCCTTCTTATCTGATCTAATATATTTGGTGTTCTGTTGACCCCCTGGTGGTTATTTTGGCCTTTCTTATAGTGTGGGGACTGTAGACTTCTGTGTGTCCAAATAGACAGTTGACACTCTGATGTTTATTTTGGCCTTTGTTGTAGTTGGGGCTCTGTAGAGTTCTGAGTGGTTTGTCCTTCACCTAAGTAGGTGGAGTCTGACCAAGTTGGTTTGGATTAACTTTAGAACTCTTTAAAGGATAACTGGACAGTTTTACATCATCTGAAGAAGTTGATTACTATTTGAATTTCATTTGTCCAGAAAACAGTTATAATCTTGCCATTACACAGAATGTCCTGATGTGGACATTGCAGATATTAAAAGAGGGATTTCTAAATAGTTGGTTTCCTTGGCACTATAGTAAAGCAGAATGTGCCAGGCTGCACACAACATCAGTGAAAGATTGAATATGGAATGAGTAAATATTGTAAAGGCTGAAATGTTGGTTCATTTCTCCCATAGATCAGCAGGAGTGTATCCCTTGTCCAATTCAACAGTACCCAAACCCTGAGAGAAACAACTGCCTTCAAAAGTCAATGACATTCCTATCTTTGGAAGATTCTCTGGGCTTGGCTCTGGTCTGTGCAGCTCTCTGCTTCTCTGTCAGCACAGCTGTAGTTTTGGGGATCTTCCTCAAACATCAAGACTCGCCCATCGTTAAGGCCAATAACCAGACACTCAGCTTCATCCTGCTCATCTCCCTCCTCCTCTGCTTCATGTGTACCTTTCTCTTCATTGGCCAGCCAAGCACAGCCTCCTGCATATTACAACAAATTACATTTGCACTCGTGTTCACTCTGGTTCTTTCCACTGTTTTGGCCAAAACTATAACTGTAGTTCTGGCCTTTAGAGCTGTAAAACTAGGAAGAACAATGAGAAGACTGTTTGTCTCGGGCATCTATAACTCTGTCATCCCCATCTGTTTCCTGATGCAGCTTATTCTCCTGGGAGTCTGGATGGGAACCTCACCTCCCTATATTCAAGCAGATGCACATTCTGAACATAGTTACATCATCATTTTGTGCAACAAGGGCTCAGTCACTGCTTTCTACTGTGTGCTGGCATACTTGGGGATCCTGGCCCTAGGAAGCTTCACTGTGGCTTTCCTGGCTAGGAACCTGCCTGACACATTCAATGAATCCAAGTTCCTGACATTCAGCATGCTGGTGTTCTGCAGTGTCTGGGTCACCTTCCTCCCAGTCTACCACAGCACCAAAAACAAGGCCATGGTGGCTGTGGAGGTCTTCTCCATCTTGGCCTCCAGTGCAGGACTGCTAGGGTGCATCTTTATCCCAAAGTGCTACATTATTCTCCTAAGACCTGACAAGAACTCTTTGAAATGCTTCAAAAATAAAACAAAATATATACAAAACAGATTATTTTCATGAATTAACTAACTATCTCTCATAAAATCCATTAGTAAAGTAAAATTAGTTACCTATTTTATAGCAAGTTTTTTTTGAAATGTATATTTAAAAAAATAAAAGATTCCCCCACTTTGTGTCATATACAGTCTACCTCAGATGTAAATAATTGTTGAAAACACCTTCTAGTAAGTTATGCATGTTACATATTAACCTGTAGCCCATTTAAATATTCCAATTCAATTACATGACAGTAGCTGAAATAAGTAATACATAAACTAAATGTTTTTAATTTTAGTCTTTTAATTTTTTGGAGTAAACATAGCTTTGTGTGGTAATTTAGATACTTCCATAGAGCAAGCAAAGAACTTTCCCTCTGCTGAAGGATCTTGCAAACACATCCAAACTCCAGAAATCAGGTGAAGAATTCTTAAAAAACTAAAGATAAATCTTACTGTTCCTTGACATGTGCACAAAGGAATTGACATCTTACTCCTGAGATACTTGCTTGGCCATTCTCATTGCTTTACTTTAATAATATATAGGATATGGAAACACCCAAATGTCCTTCAGTGGATAAATGGATAATGAAAATGTTGTACACATAAATGGGTAGAGATAGAAAAATATATGTTGAGTTAGGTAACCCAGACCCAGAAAGACAAATGACACATATTCTCTCTATTCTGAGGCATCTAGTTACAATCTTTAGATGTGAGGATTCACCCTGAGATAAGTGTAGAAACCATGAGAGGGTAGGGAAGCAATGGAGGGTAGAATATCAAGGTAGAAGTGATTTGATTTGGGAAATGGGTAAAAGGGAGTACTCAAATTGTGAATAATGTAGTGATTCATCAAGACTTCTAAATACATTGTTAATCATAAATATGAATAATATTGAAACTTGAAATAAGGAAGTAGGTTTAATAACTGTAAGGTATATCTGAAAAATCATAATCAAGTATACTATGAACTGTCTCTCTAAAAATATCCATAATATATATAAGTACATGCATAAGTATGCAAATGTAAAATTTAAAGGGAAAATCTACAACCATTACTTTATTTTTATTTATTTACTTATTTTTTATTAGTTCAAATTCAGAACAACTTGATTCACATGTCAATCCCTTCCCCTCTCCCCTCTTATCCCAACCCGACATACCCCCACCCCATCTACCATCCACACCCCAGGCATGGTAGGGCCCAATATGGGCTCCGCAAAGTCCACCACATCATCCTGGGCTGGGCCTAGGATGGGCCCTTACCCAAGTGTCCAGTGCAAGAAGAGTACATCCCTTCACATGTGATGGACTCTCAAAGTATCTTCTTACACCAGGGAAAAATACAAATCCACCACCAGAGGCTCCCTGGAGTGCAGAGGCCTCCGCATTGACATCCATGTTCAGGGGTCTGGATCAGTCTTGTACTGGCCTCCCAGACAGCATCTGTGGTCGATGTGTTCCCACTTGTTAAGGCCAGCTGTCTGTGGGTTTCTCCCTGGCAACAACCATTCAATGTTCATTCCTCCCTCTCTGCAACTAAGTTCCAGAGTTCAGTTCAGTGTATATCTGTGGATGTCTGTGTCTGCTTCCATCAGCCACTGGATGAGGGACCTAGGATGGCATAAAGAGAAGTCATCAATCTCATTTTAAGGGAAGGGTGTTTAGGTTATCCTCTCCAACATTGCCTGGATTGTCAGTTCGTGTCATCTTTGTAGGTCTCTGGAAATCTCCCTAGTGCCAGATCTCTCCTCGGACCTATAATGGCTCCCTCAGATATGGTATCTCTCATCCTGCTCTCCTCTATTCTTCCCCCAACTCAATATTTCTACTCCTCCATTTCCTCCTCTCCTCTTCTCTTCTTCTCCTCTCATTCTGGCAGCTCCCTCTCACCTACCCTCATGCTCCCAATTAGCTCAGGAGTTCCTGCCCGTTCCCAATTCTGGGGTCCATAGAGTCCTTTATGTTTTCAAGTTTCTTTGGTGAAGAGGATTATAGGCTGGTAATCCTTTGCTCTATGTCTAAAATTCATATATGAGTGAGTACATACCATGTTTGTCATTTTGTGATTTTGTCACTCAGGATGGTTTCTTCTAGTTCCATCCATTTGCCTGCGAATTTCAAGATTCCATTACTTTTTTCTGCTGAGTAGTACTCCATTGTATAAATGTACCACATTTTCTCAATCCATTCTTCAGTTGAGGGGCATCTAGGTTGCTTCCAGGTTCTGTCGGGGAGGCCAGTACAAGACTGATCCAGACCCCTGAACATGGATGTCAATAAGGAGGCCTCTGCACTCCAGGGAGCCTCTGGTGGTGGATTTGTATTTTCCCTGGTGCAATAAGCGACTTTGAGAGCCCATCCCTGGTGAAGGGTTACACTCTGGCCCTGGACACATGGGGAAGGGCCCAGGACCAGCACAGGAAGATTTGGTGGATGTTGCAGAGCCCCCATTGAGGGCTCTACCCTGCCTGGGGAGTGGTGGGTGGATGGGGTGAAGTGTAGCCTGGGGGTGGGAGAGGAGGGATGGGGTTGAGGGGAGGGAGAGGGAGAGGGAGAGGGAGAAGGGACTTACATGTGAAACAAGGTTGTTCCCTAACTAGAACTAATAAATAAATAAATAAACAATGTATTAATGTATTGCACTCCAATGTAAGAAAAATAATACACATAATAATTTCCATAATTCTCAAGGTTTTGTGGTTTACACTAGTTGCTGGGTGATATCTTCACCTAATCTGTCTCTAGAGAAGAAGGAGGCAACAATATGTGGTGATGTTCCCCCCAGATCTTCATCTTGCTCTATTATATCTGTAATAGCGACATATAGTTAAAAAATGTTAGTTCCTTTCATAAAGCTAGACATTCTAGGGAAAGTGATGCCATATAATCAGAGTAAAGCACTAGATAATTCTTCTGCAGTCCTTCCCTGCGCCCAATATGTTGTAGCATTGTTATTGGAACAAAAGAAATCTATGGTGCCTTTAAAATCTATCATGAACAGAATAGTATTTCTTTCTTAGTTTCTTCACAACTCTTAGTACCTTTGGAGCCCATAGTACTTGGGCCATATTCCATCACACCATGGTGAGAGAGAGAAAGAGAGAGAGAGAGAGAGAGAGAGAGAGAGAGAGAGAGAGAGGCTAATCTCACAGAAGATATTCTCCTCATCTATAGTCAGATAGTCAGTTCCCTGATACTCTTTTTTTTATTAGTAAGAAAATTATTTTACATGTAAATCCCAGGTCACTCTCCCTCCACTGCCCCCCCAAAAAACAGGCTACCTATCCCATACTCTTTCTGCTCCCCAGTGAGGGTGAGACCTCCCATAATGGGTCTTCAAGTCTGTCATATTCTTTGGGATAGGGACTAGGCTCACCCACTTGTGTCTAGACTCAGGGAATATCCCTCTTTGTGGGATGGACTCCTAAAGTCCATTCCTATGGTCCTGAATTGTACTGATCCAATACAAGAGGTTCATAGATTTCCAAGGTCTCCTCTCCGATACCCACATTCAGGGGGTCTAGATCAGTCCCATACTGGTTTCTCAGCTATCAGTGTGGGGACCAAGAGATTTCCCTTGATCAGGTCAGCTGTTTCTGTTGGTTTCACCAGCATGGTATGGACCATTTGGCTCCTCAGTCCTCCTTCTCTGATTCTGGATTTCAGTTCAGTTCAAGGTTTAGCTGTAGGTGTCTGCCTCTACTTCCACCAGCTTCTGGATGAAGGCTATAAAATGGCATATGAATTAGTCATCAATCTCATTATCAGAAGAGGGCATTTAAGGTAGCCTCTCCTCTGTTGCTTAGATTGTTACTTGGTGTCATCTTTGTAGCTTTCCATACATTTCCCTAGTGCCTGACTTCTCTTTGAACTTATAATGTCTCCCTCTATTATATTATCTCTATTTTACTCTCTTCTGTTTTCCCCAAACTCAACCTCCCTGTCCAATCATGTCTTCCTCAGCCCTTCTCTTCTACCTTTCTCATTATACTTCTCAGCGTTCTGGCTAAGATCAAGTATAGTATCTGTTTTTATCAGTTTACTATCTGATATATCCTCTATCCCTGATACTCTTGTGTGAATAATGAACTCAATTCTTTTTAAGGTGAGGACTCCAAATTCCTGTAAACTTGGAATCAACTAATTTTTTGCTTTGCTTCTTTAGATCACATATGGAACTTTTGATGCTGTGCTAAGTGACAAAGATACATTCCCATGCCTGTACCAGATGTCTCCTAAAGACACAGCTCTGACCCAAGGGGTGATCTCTTTATTGCTGCCCTTTGTCTGGAACTGGGTGTGGCTCCTTGTGGCTGATGACCTGAAAGGAAAGGAGTTTCTCTCTGACCTGAAAGCAGAGATTGCATCAGAAGATATCTGTGTGGCTTATACAGAAAAACTCCCAACTAATTGCAAAATTCAGTTAATGTCTGGAGTTGGGTTGGTGAATTTGAAACAACATATGCAAGTAAATTTGTATATATTCTGTGTTGATACAGATGACTTGCTGGTTTACTGCCTGGACAATGAAATCATGTTAACCAGAAGCAAGGTGTGGATCATGGCAAAGCCAAACTTAGTATACTTGGAGTCCATATTATATGGGTGGAATGAATTGATGGACTGTTATAAAGGAAGCTTCTCATTTTCAAAGAAGAGAACTAACCCTGGCTTCAAACACTTTATTGAGACACTTACTACCTACCTGTACCCAGGTGACATTTACTTCCATAAATTCTGGCTGGACAATTTTTAATTGTTCATTTCCTCCTTTGCTATTTGGAAATCACAAACCCTGTCCATGAATATGTCACAGTCACTAACTCTTACCTCTACATCAGACTGAAAGGTGATCCTGGCTCTACCAAACCTCAGACAGTAATCTCAGACTGTAATCCCAGACTGCAATCCCAGACTGCTATGTTCTCCTCCACATGGCTGGAGAAAGCTGAGACTGAATGTCTGCTCTGAGACCTTGGTCCCTAATGCTGGAATTAAAGATGTGTGGTTCCCATTGTTGGGATCAAAAGCATGAGCCCTGTTACTCTTTACTCTTGTGTAGGCCATGGTGGTCTTGAACTAACAGAGATCTGTCCACCAGAGTCCTAGGATTAGAGATGTGTACCACCACTGTCTGATCTCTATCACTTGACGATGACTTTGCTTTCTGAATCAAAGGCAAGCATTGAAAATCATAAATAATACATCACCACATGATATTCCTTGCATATATTTTCTTGGGACTGACCATGTGGTATTGAATGACAGTTGATGTGCTTTTCCCTAGGAAGAACATTACTCCTTCCATCTCTCAACATTTCTTAGTTATGTTCTGTGTCGAATGAATATCTAGTGGTCATTCTCCTGACTACTTTGGGAGGTCTGTGGCTTTGTCTCCAATCAGTTTCATATGTTTAGGCAGCCATGTTGGGAGTCATGGCTTTACACTCTAATATTACTAGGAGACACAATCTTGAATAAAATTCCCTGAAGCTCTGATTATTACAATTACTCCATCTCCCAATCAAATGTTTCCTGGGTGTTAGGTTTGTGAATGGTTTTGCAGACTTATCCACTGGAGATGCCCTCAACAACTCTGTTTTTTATTAGTCTGTAATGCTCTCATCTGTTGTGAAGAGAAGTTTCCTTTCTGCTGGGGCTGGGGTGGTGAAGGCTAAAATTATCTGTAGGTATTGGGACAAATGTTTATAGATTGTTGTGCTGATAAATTTTTTATGATCTAATAAAGCTTGCTTGAAGATCAGAAAGCAAAGCTATCCACAGCCATAGAGACCAGGCAGTGATGGCACACATCTTCAATTGCAGAACTCAGGAGACAGAGGAAGATGTATCTCTGTGAGTTCAAACCACACATGGCTTGAGAAAGAGCACATACCTTTAATCACTTCACGAAAGAGGTATATAAGATAGGAGCAGGGTCTCATTGTATTCATTCTTGGGCAATTGGCCTACAGCCACATTGAGGACAGGATCTCCCCAACCTTGGTAGAGGTAAGAGCTCTTTGGTAACTTAGCTGCTTTGATATTCTTATTTTCATCTTGAACTGAACTAGCTGTGTCTGAGTTTTTATTATTTGTGCTACAGATGGCTGTTAGGAAGTATGCTGGTTTAGTAAATTATTCTAATAATTTGTTGTAGATTCTCCTCCAATAACCATGACTTCAATAGCACTGAATACTGAGGTAACAGACAGAGGCATGCTTCCTTTTTGCAGACTGGTTTTTTTATTCCCATACAGAGAGGTCTTAATCACCATCAAGGAATTCATGGCACTTCTGCACACTTAGGGTTGTGTGCTATGATGGCCATTGTCACAATGGTGTAGGAATGTTGGTTGTCTCCATCCCTTGGAAGCCTGCATGATGTCTTTTGGTATCATGAAAGTTAGTTCATAAGGAAAGGGCATCCATATGAGTTCAAGCTCAAAGGGTCTCCAGGCCACTTGTGAAGTATATGGTTTCTTTAGAAATACAGACTCACTTTCCAACTAACAGGAAAAACATGCACAACAGCAATAGTCTCCATGTTTGGGAGTCTCTTAAAAAACCCTAGTGAATACCACAAAAGAGAGTGTCTCATGTCTGGTACTGGGTTTATGTATATAGACTTGGTCTTGGAGGGAAAAGCATCAGCCCAGATGAGAATCATTTACTAAAACTATATGTATGAGTATAAGATAATTAATTGTACTTTAGGGTTGATTTAAGGTAAATTATAACATTATGATTATTTCTGGGCTTTTCAGACACTCTTATTGATATTTTACACACTTCCCTCCTTCTTCTGTATTTACTTCTCTTCAGCTTTCCTAAATCACCCCTCCCTGCTTTCCCTTCCGCATCACAAATATTTTGTTCAGACATCCTTACTGTTACTTCACTCTGGGCAATCCTTCAACTGTATTTATCTCCATCTTACCTAGTTATTTGGAGTGTCTCTCTTTTGCATTTCTCACTTTAGGTCATTTCTTCCATGCTATTCCACTCTATTTCTTCCCAAGTTCTTGCTGTGGTCTTGCTCATTTTTCTATATTTTACAGTTTTTCACATGTACTAAGACCTGAAAATTTGGAATTAGACACCTTACATGAGAAAGAACATGTGGCATTTGCCTTTCTGGGCTGATGTTTCATGACTCATTTTGATCTTTTCCAGTTCCATCTACATACCCAAAAAGTTTAAGATTTCAGTTTCTTATATGTCTGAATTATATTCTCTGGTGTGTATTTATCACAGTTTCATTATCCACTTGTCAATTCTAGGTCACTTAGTATTGTTTTGTTTTTTCAGTTTCCTAAGTACTGTAAACAAAACAGCATTGCACATGGAGAGCAAATACCTGTGGAGTAAGATGTGGAGTCCTGTGGACATATGCAAAGAAATGGTATAGCTGGGTCATATGGCAGATTTACTATTAGCTTATGAAGAATTCGCCATTCTAAAGTGGCTGCACCAGTTCCAGTCCTGCCGTAAGTGAATGAGGGCTTCCTTTTCCTTTCTGTCAACTCAAGTGCTTGTTGGCTGTTCTGTGGATCTCTGCTAATCTGACTGTCCACAATGAAATCTAATGCTGTTTTCATTTATTTTACCATAATTGTTAAGGTTGATAAAGTTTTTTGAAATATTTCTTAGCCATTTTTTCCCAATTGAAATACTCTTTTCAGGTTGCAGGACCAGTTCTTATATAATAGGTCACTTTTTTAACTCTTGGTTTTTTCAGTTCTTTGTATATTCTGGATATTAATCCCCTGTCAGAAATTTATCTGGCAAAAACACTCCCTCATTCTGAGGACTTCCTCTCAACACAGTTGATTGTTTCTTTGACTGTACAGACACTTTTAGTTTCATGAACTCCTACGTGTCAAATGTTAGCTTTAATTCTTGGGCAAATGTAGTCCTATTAAAAAATTTTTTCAGACATTTAGATCATGGAGGCACTTGCCTATGTTTTTCTAACAGTGTTAGCATTCTAAGTTTCTGGTTTGAGTCTCTGATTCAATTCTAGATAGAATTTGTGAATTTGCTAGTTATAGGTTTAATTTCACTTTCTAATTGTGGGACTGCAGTTTTTCCAACATGTATTTATGATGCTTTCTACTCTCAATCTTATGTTTTTGTTGTCTGTGTTGAATATTAAATGACTGACCTAACATGTACTCATGGATTTTCCTGAGGTGACATGTCTATTGGAGAAAGTGGGGCATTGGATATGCCTGCTGTTAATGGATTGTTGTTAAACTGTGTCCTTAAATACAATAGTACAATTTTTATGAAAATGACTGCCCCACAATTGGGTGGACATAAGTTTAGAGTTGTAATGCCTTCTTGATTAAGTGCTCCTTTGACCAGCATGTATATTTTTATTTTTATTTTTCTAACTAATTTTACACTGAAATCTATGTTGTCAATTGTTATGGTAAGGATGCATGCTTTCTTCCTGAACTTATGAGATTTGAGTACATATGTCCATGTTTTTATTCTATTATGGTATCTCTTTTAAAATTTAGATGCATCTTGTAGAAAAGCTACATGGATTTTGCTTCTATGATCAATTCAGTTAGTCCATGCTTTTAAATGATGAATTGAGGCCATTGATATTTAATGGTATTGTAAAAAATTATGTCATTTGTGGTCATCATGCTGTTGAATTTAGAATTGTAATATTGTTCTCAGTGGTGTTTTATATTCTATTAAATATATTTTCTCATTTCTTTCCACCATCTCTAAGCTATACCAATTGTTCTCCCCAGGCTAAAATATCACTTTCTTTAATTCTGCTTGGCTGGATATAATTTTGTAGACTAAAAGGACTTGGCAGTCTTCCCTCTAAGCTTTTCTAACACTCACAGATTCTATTAAAAAAACAGATGATATTTTCTTTGATTTACGTGTGTGTGTGTGTGTGTGTGTGCGCGTGTGTGTGTGTGTGTGTTCTGGCTTTTCTCTTATAGCTCCCAATAAACTTTCTTGTTATGTTTTTAAGTTAAAATTAGAATTTTTGAAAATATTTATCTGTTTTAGTGTTTCAATTTATGAAAATCTGTGGAGATTTGCTTTTCTGGTTCTATCTATTAGTGTACTCTGTGCTTCTTTTATATATTTGGATATATGTTCCCTTAGTTTCAGGAACTCTTCTTCCATGAAATTGACCTTATTGAAAAAC